TAAAAATAAAAATAATAAATAATAAAATAAAATAAAATATGTATGTGAGAGAGAGAGAGAGAGAGAGAGAGAGAGAGAGAGAGAGAGAGAGAGAGAGGGAGGAAAACTAGTACAGTAGCTCGTTTTATTAGTAAAGCCTGTGCTTGCCTCGTCGAAACATAAGCACAGCAGGCCAGCAAGTCGAGTGGATTAGGGCAATCCCTAACCTATGATTTAGCATTACATATATAGTGATCGGAAGCAAAGCAAGAGCAGCAACAAGTCTTGGCAACGACCCATGCTTTTCCTCATTTTAGACCAAAAAAAAGGTTGCACTAAATGTTAAGATCACACAAACAATTGAAGCAAAGAGAGAAATCAGTCCAACCATCAACTTTGCCCGTAATGAAAATAGAAAATCATCTTCTGTGTAGCGTGAAGTTAAGATAGACAAGAACATCATTATGGAAGTTGCCGAGCTGAACATTGCCACCGCATCAGATATAACGAAAACTGTGAACAACTTGTTCTTCAAGAATACTGGAGTGCCTATTTCATTATTGCCACTTGGTACGTTTAAGGCTGCAGCAAACGTAACTGTGGCAATTAAAGTTGCCACGACCATGCAAGAAGATGCTGTGTCCTTCATGTTGGAAAAATTGGCCGACTTTGGCACGAGTTTTGAGTGGGACCCGATTATTCAATTTGGAAGATGAAAGTTGATTTGTGTTCTCCTCCGTGAGTACATCGAAATCATATACTTACTTGCCAAAGTTGATGCTCGGGTGAATGAAAAATTGAGGCTCAAAGTGTGCCACTTAAAAGGGAGTTTATGTGGTAAAAATGAATTTGTCCCATATAGGAAAAAGATGAGGAACTCCAAGGGCCATTGCCATTAATAGTAGCCTAGCCTATAAATAGTGGCTCATTTTCCTCATTTCAACACACAAAAAAAAAAAAAAAAAAGCAAAAGCTTTCAAGTTTAGAATACACTAGAAATTCATTTGCATAGAGTTCTCTCTCAGTGGTGGTGTAGTTCAGGCACTAGTTTAGTTCGTCGGAGTGGTTTCTGCGGTACTCGGAAGCTACTGGTTTTATCGTTGTATCCTGAAAAACGGACGCTCGTTTTAAACCTCAAGCACGGACGGTGAGGGGGCGAATCTGTTTTAAGGAAACCGTGTGTAACACAGGCCTGGGGTTAAAATTCTATGTTTCAGTTGTTTAATTCATGCAATTTTTCGTATTAAATTTACAGTCCATGTTTCATGAATTTATGATATATTGTTCGTATGCTTCATGAATTTTAAATTCTATTGGAACAAAAGTTATTTGTTGGAAATAAAACTTTCAATGATCTGGTGAAAATTCGATATACGGTCGTTTGAATTTTGTTGATTTGCATAGTTGTAAAATTGAAAGGCTTTGTCAAAAAGCCTAAACTGTCTAAGAAGAGCTTGGGATTTAAGCGGTCCGGTTGTAACCCCCTCCTCATCTGGGAGTCTTTTAATTGTGCATTATTCAAATTGACGAGACGAAAGACAACATTTTCCGATTTTATCCACATACACTGAATTTACTACAAGCTTAAAACAGATTTTCAGAAAGGAAAATTTGGTTTTCTATATTGATTATCTTTGAACTGATTAGTTTCTTATATTTGTTATATTGTGGAAACTAATTTGTTGTTTGGTTCTTTCGGAAGACGAAATGGCAACCAGTTTCACCAACATAGATTCCAACTTGGATTTGTCCCAAGCTGAAGGTACCCAATCTCAGGTTGTGGGTTCTACTATGGGTGCAGCTATGGTTGCAGGGCCTAGCTCTGTTATGGCACAGACTGTGGCTCCAATGCCAAGTCATGTTGTGAGTCAACATGTGGCTAATGTTTCAGTTAATGTACCAGTTAACCATGGGGAAAAGCTGGAGAAATTGAACGGCTTGAATTTCAAGAGGTGGCAACAGAAAATGCTATTCTATCTGATCACCTTGAATCTTGCGAGATTCTTGACTGAAAGTGCTCCAAAACTCCAAGAGGGTGAGGTGGATGTTCAAGCTATCAGTGCTGTTAATACTTGGAAATACTCGGACTTCTTATGCCGGAATTACATCATGAATAGTTTGGCAGATTCGCTAGACAGCATGTATAGCACCATGAAAACTACTAAGGAGTTGTGGGAGTCTTTGGACTGAAAATATAAGACTGAGGATGCCGGGCAAAGAAATTTATCGTCAGTCGATTCTTGGACTATAAGATGGTGGACTCCAAAACTATAATCAGTCAAGTGCAAGAACTCCAATTGATTCTTCACGAAATTTATGCCGAAGGGATGATTCTGAGTGAAACTTTCCAAGTGGCTGCAATCATTGAAAAATTGCCTCCCGCGTGGAAAGATTTCAAAAATTATCTGAAACACAAGCGAAAGGAAATGAATGTTGAAGAACTGATTGTTAGACTTCGAATTGAAGAAGACAACAAGAGTTCCAAAAAGAAGTGGTTCAATCCTGGTGCGGCTAAGGCCAATATTGTTGAACATGGTCAATGTAGTAAGAACTACAAAACCAAAGTTGGGCCATCCGGTGGAAAATGGATCAAGCTGGGACCAAAAGGGGGCATTCCTAAGAAGAAATTTCAAGGGAAGTGCTTCAACTGTGACAAAGTAGGCCACAAATCTTCGGAGTACAGATTGCCAAAGAAGAAGAAAGAAGCAAATGTGGTTGACTACATGACACATGATGTGTCGGAGATGAGTCTCGTAGCAGTCATTTCTGAAGTGAACATGGTGGGTTCTAACCCAAGAGAATGGTGGATTGACACCAGAGCTACGAGACATGTGTGCTCTGATAAAGAGTTATATACTGCTTTTGAAGCAGTTGAGAATGGAGAGAAGTTATTAATGGGAAATTCAGCAACTTCTGAAATCAAGGGCCAAGGAAAAGTGGTTCTAGAGATGACTTCGGGAAAAGAGCTGACTCTCAACAACGTGCTGTATGTGCCGAAAATCCGCAAGAACCTTGTGTCCGGGTCACTTTTGAATAAGCATGGTTTTCACATTGTGTTTGAGTCAGACAAAGTCATCTTGTCGAAAAGTGGAATGTTTGTCGGAAAAGGTTATGTTTTCGATGGAATGTTTAAACTTAATGTAATGGTTGTTAAACCAAAAATGAATAATAAAGTGAATGCTTCTGTTTACTTGCTTGAGTCTTCCAATGTGGGCATGGTAGACTAGGACACGTTAACTATGATACTTTACGTAGGCTATTTAACTTGAAATGCATACCACCATTCCATGTTGATTCCAAATATAAGTGTGAGACTTGTGTTGAAGCAAAATTGACTAGGTTGTCATTTAAGTCAATTGAACGAAATACGGAATCACTTGATTTAATTCACAGTGATATATGTGATTTAAAATTGTACAAACAAGAGGTGGCAACAAGTATTTCATTACTTTTGTCGACGATAGCACGAAATACTGCTATGTGTATTTGCTAAAAAGCAAGGATGAAGCGATAGAGAAATTTGTTCTCTATAAGAATGAAGTTGAAAATCAACTTAACAAGAAAATTAAGGTGCTAAGAAGCGATTGAGGTGGTGAGTATGAAGCACCGTCTGCTGAGTTCTGTGCACAACACGAAATCATACATGAAAACACCGCACCGTATTCACCGCAACAAAATGGTGTTGCTGAAAGGAAAAATCGCACTTTAAAGGAGATGATGAATGCGATGCTAGTAAGTTCTGGATTACCTCAGAACATGTGGGGAGATGCCGTATTATTAACAAATTACCTTTTGAATAAGGTGCCCCGAAAGAAAATGAAGAAGACCCCTTATGAGTTATGGAAAGGAAGACCGCCTTCCTATAAATACTTACGAGTGTGGGGGTGTCTTGCTAAAGTGGCTGTCCCAACACCAAAGAAGGTAAAGATAGGCTCGAAAACTGTAGATTGCATATTCATTGGATATGCACATAACAGTAGTGCTTATCGATTTCTCGTGTATGAATCTAAAATCCAAGATATACACAGAAACACGATAATGGAGTCGAGAAACGCTTCAGCCTTTGAACATGTGTTTCCATACAGGTCCGAAGAAGAGGCAATTTCTTCTAAACGGACGTATGAGACTATGACTAAGCATAGTCAGGACCAAGAACTAGAAGAGGAGGTTGAGGTTGAACCTAGACGTAGCAAAAGGGAAAGGACAGAAAAATCTTATGGTCCGGATTTTCTGACCTATATGCTAGAAAGTGAACCTCAAAGCTATCAAGAGGCTATGAACTCTTCGGAAGGACCTCAATGGAAAGAGGCCATTAAAAGTGAAATAGATTCTATCCTGCAAAATCATACATGGGAGCTAGTAGATCTTCCACCAGGAAGTAAACCACTAGGCTACAAGTGAATTTTCAAATGAAAAATGAAAGCAGATGGAACTATTGAAAAGTATAAGGCTAGGTTGGTAATAAAAGGTTACCGACAACGGAAAGGCCTTGATTACTTTGATACATATTTTCTAGTAACGAGAATAACATCCATTAGAATGATACTTGCGATTGCTGCTTTTGGAAATCTTGAAGTACATCAAATGGATGTTAAGACTACCTTCTTGAACGAAGACTTGGATGAAGAAATCTATATGGAACAACCGGAAGGGTTTCGTCTCCAGGGCAGGAAAAGAAAGTGTGTAAATTGGTGAAGTCATTGTATGGCTTGAAACAAGCACCAAAACAATGGCATGAGAAATTTGACAGTGTCATGATGGAGAGTGGATTTAAGATCAACGAGTGTGACAAATGTGTTTACGTCAAAGACACTAAAGATGAATATGTCATCTTATGTCTTTACGTTGACGACATGCTTATTGTTGGTAGTGACAATAAGATGATTGAATCCACTAAAAATATGTTAAACTCGAGGTTTGACATGAAAGATATGGGTTTAGCTGATGTTATACTTGGAGTGAAAATCTCAAGAACATCAAATGGGCTTGTTCTAAGTCAGTCACATTATGTGAACAAAATTTTAGGAAAATTCCATAAGGATGATACTAACTTGGCTAGAACCCCAATAGATACTAGTCAACATCTGTATAAAAACAGAGGAGAAAGTATCTCTCAAGTAGAATACTCGAGAGTTATCGGAAGTCTAATGTACTTAATGAGCTGTACTAGACCAGACATAGCCTACACAGTCAATAAACTGAGTAGATACACGAGTAATCCAGGAGCTGATCACTGGAAAGGAATAGTAAGAGTACTAAGGTACTTAAGATATACTCGTAATTTTGGACTGCACTATAGCAGATACCCAGCGGTCATTGAAGGATATAGTGATGCTAATTGGATATCCGACATAAAAGACTCAAAGTCCACGAGTGGATTTGTGTTCACTTTGGCAGGTGCAGCTATATCATGGAAATCTTCTAAACAAACAGTGATAGCCAGATCCACTATGGAATCTGAGTTTATAGCTCTAGATAAAAGTGGTGAAGAGGCTGAGTGGCTACGCAACTTCTTAGAGGATATTCCAAGATGGTCAAAGCCTGTGCCAACAATTTGCATATATTGTGATAGTCAATCGGCAATTGGAAGGGCACAGAACAACATGTATAATGGTAAGTTTAGACATATATGTCGTAGACATAATAACATTAGGCAACTACTCTCAACTGGAGTTATCACTATTGATTATGTAAAGTCAAAAGATAACATTGCGGATCCGCTAACCAAAGGGTTAAATAGAGAGTTAGTTGAGAAATCATTGAGAGGAATGAGACTTAAGCCCTTGAATGGATAAGTTAATACAAAGGAAAACCCAACCTAGTTGACTGGAGGTCCTAAGATCTAGGTTCAAAGGGATAACCTAATTGTAAAGACTTGATAGAATTACTGTGGGGGATATTACCTCCTGTCCATTCCTGTGATGCGACAGTGATGCCCGTAAAGATGGAAGATAAGCAATAGGCTTTTAATGATTCTTATGCATCGAAAATCGAGCCAAGTAATGCGGGTTACTTGTAATAAGAAATCACCAATGTGAGAGAGAAGTGGGGCCGCTTCTAAGGGAATTGTGTGGGGCGCAATTCTTGTGAACTCTCACAGAACCAGGCGTATGTTCATGGCCAAAATGAACATAATAATAAGAACTGAAATGTGTTAGGAAAAATCCTGTGTGAAGTGTATCATTGTTTACATAAATGATAGAACAGTTCAAGGACATCGCGTCTACTGGTCAGCCAGTGAAGTAAATATGCTTTCACAAGCGAAGGTTCAAAGGGTAACACCTACCTATCGTATGCAGGTTTCAACTGTTGAACTATATCACCAAGTCGTCATGTGTCACATTCACAAGTCGTCATGTGTCATATTCATAAGTCGTCATGTGTCACATGCATGAGTCGCTCTCAATTTTCATTCATGTGGGGGATTGTTGGAAAAATTGGCCGACTTTGGCAGGAGTTTTGAGTGGGACCCCGTTGTTGAATTTGGAAGATGAAAGTTGATTTGTGTTCTCCTCCGTGAGTACATCGAAATCATATACTTACTTACCAAAGTTGATGCTTGGGTGAATGAGAAATTGAGGCTCAAAGTGTGCCACTCAAAAGGGAGTTTATGTGGGAAAAATGAATTTGTCCCACATAGGAAAAAGATGAGGAACTCCAAAGGTCATTGCCATTAATGGTAGCCTAGCCTATAAAAAGTGGCTCATTTTCCTCATTTCAACCCACAAAAAAAAAAAAACAAAAGTTTTCAAGTTTAGAATACACTAGAAATTCATTTGCATAGAGTTCTCTCTTGGTGGTGGTGTAGTTCAGGCACTAGTTCAGTTTGCCGGAGTGGTTTCTGCGGTGCTCGGAAGCTACTGGTTTTACAGTTGTATCCTGGGAAACGGACGCTCGTTTTAAACCTCAAGTACGGACGGTGAGGGGACGAATCTGTTTTAAGGAAACTGTGTGTAACACAGGCCTCGGGTTAAAATTCTATGTTTCAATTGTTTAATTCATGCAATTTTTCGTATTAAATTTACAGTCCATGTTTCATGAATTTATGATATATTGTTCGTATCCTTCATGAATTTTAAATTCTATTGGAACAAAAGTTATTTGTTGGAAATAAAACTTTCAATGATTTGGTGAAAATTCGATATACGATTGTTTGAATTTTATTGATTTGCATAGTTGCGAAATTGAAAGGCTTTGTCAAAAAGACCTAAACTGTCTAAGAAGAGCTTGGGATTTAAGCAGTCCGGTTGTGACCCCCCTCCTCATCTGGGAGTCTTTTAATTATGCATTATTCAAATTGACGAGACGAAAGACAACATTTCTCGATTTTATCCACATACACTGAATTTACTACACTTCATCCACTTCTCACCATCTTGCCTTAACTCTTTGTGCTTCTGGGAAAATAACTCCCTTGGTGTTTTGCTATCATTGTTTTTCATATCGAGTAATGGATTTGATACAATCTTCTCCACCTCCTGAAAAGCTTACTCTAATTATTGTATTTTGCAAAATCCTCCAAAATGTAACTCTCACATGGTGAAAAAATATTACTTAGGGTAGTCGATTGGAGATTTCAAATCCACATATATATTCAAGATAACTAAGAAATTATTCAATTTCACTACCATTTTAATTTCTCACCTTAAACGATAGTAATTCTCTTTGCATTTGAAGAGCTGCTCTAGATACAATATTGAGTCTGCTTGGAGGTGCCATTTCCCCGGCCAAATGCAAAATGTTGTTCTCATTATCATCTGTAAGGAATGTAATTAAATCTTTATCAGCTCCTGTTTGGTAGATGAGTCTGAATACTTTTTCTTGTCGGTTAATAACAACAACATGAAATATAGAGTGTTTCTTTTCGTTGACTTTCCATATATGATCAGGATATGAGTGAGTAAGGAGAGTCAGAAACTCAACATTCCCTATTTTTGCATAATCATGAAATATCTTAGTCTTTTTGACTAGTTTTACCATATCGGAGTACGGTAATTTTGTAATATGTTCCCACAACCTGTTTGCCAACTCACTGGCTTGTATCCTCATTTGAAGTGAGAATATCCTTCTGAAATCTAAAAATATAAAAGCAAAATTAATGTGGAACAAAAATCCAAAAAAGTTGAAACACCAGGAGTAAACTGGCATTTGCTAGACAATTCTGAAGTTCATCCTAGTTTAGATTGAATAAACATTAATATAATGTGCGATAATTAGAACTCTTATACAATTATCAAGATAGAAAAAAAATAAAAAATAAAAAAATTACAAATTGGTGCATATATTTGGAAACTAGTATTTTAACATATATAGTTTGTTTGTTTGTTTGTTTTTTTCCCCCCTTTTTCCTTCATATCATCGTCTTTAACGTAAGATCTCCGCTGATTATTCCTAATACTTACTCCATCCCATTATTAATTCTAATTTAATGAGTATCCTACTATTAGAGTCTATTAGAGAAGTAGAAAAAATCTAACTTTCTGATAAATAAAGCAGCCTGGCCAGGGCCACAATAGACCCCCCACCAATAAGGGAGGCACCTACATGACGAAATCTCGTGTATTAAAATACAGAAATCGTTACAAATTGTAATTTAATAAATATAAGTGATGTTGACCTTCCCGTAATTGCAAAATTGCAAAATTCTCTGATTAATGATCTGAATATTTGAAGACGAGGGGCCACGTGGCTTAAATCCTGATTTTGAATAATATGTTGAAAATTTGATTTGTCGAGATTTGACTTGTTTGGAACTTGAATCTTGAGGCTTGGACTTGGACTTGAATTTGATTTAATTTGAAGAAGACTTTGATCTTCTTGGATTTGGCGTGAACCTGTTTGGTTCGAAGAAGATTTTAATTTTCTTGGGATTCACCGAACTAAGGCTTGACAGAATTTCTTCCCTTCTTTCAGCCTCGAGATTTCTTCAGCATTTCATGGCGTTCTCTGCTTTCTTCCTTGCTTGCTTTTTTTTTTTTTTGTGTCTCGTCTTATGGACCATTGATCTTATTTATAGGGGAGGATTTGGGCTAATTTTGGTAATTACTCAATTATATTTAATTAAAAAAGATAATTGAGTAATTATAATTTTATTTATTTTGTTTGTTTATTTTATTTGCTTGTTTATTTATCTAAAATTTGGTATGAGCCTTTGGGTTTTATGGACTTTAGTATATTTAAATTTAATTGGGCTAATGATTTAAATCGACCCAATCCATTTTATTATTATTTTTTTTATGTCTACAAATGCCCCCTCAAGATTTATTTATTTATTATGAAATAAATAAATTAACAAATCTTGACTTTCGATTTTATCTTTGATTTGTTCGATTTTGATTTTTTTTAAACTCATACTTCCCACTAGTAAATTAATACAGATGGAAGATCTAAGTGAATTTGACAAAATTCTTATCCTTCAAATAAGAAATTTTTTTGTTGAATTTCGAATATTTATTTTATACGATCTATAACAAATTTGATTTGAACGGGCTTTTCATGTTTTATGGTAAATTGGGTCTAAGTGAAACCCAATGCCCACCTATTTATATGGACAAATTAAGAAATTTAGACACAAGTGAATTAATTTTACCGATAAAGGTAATTTTTTCTTTCTTCTTTTTTTTTTCTGCACCCTTCTTTTCGTTTTCATCTCTTTTTTTTTTTAATTATACGTTGTTCCCGTCGACAGCGAAAAAACAAAAAGTTTAAAACTTATGGTTTTGGCCGTCGGCGAAAACAGGCGGCAGAAACCAAAACCATTCGAATTGGTTCCAATGGCCAAAACATTATTTTAATATTATTATTATTATTATTATTATTATTATTTTTTTATAATAAATCTGGGTGGCGGAAGCGGCATAAACCAAAACCAATTGATTCCAATTGGTTTTGGTTTCTGCCAATGGCAGAAACATTATTTTAATTTATTTTTTAATATTTGGCGGCGTAAGTGCCAATTCCAATTGGTTTTAATTTTTAATTTATTTTTTTTACACGTCTTCTTTCTTTTCTTTTTCTTTCTTTTCTCGTTTCTTTTCTTTTTCTTTTTTTTTTTGAATTGTCTTTTTATTTCGATTCCTTTTTGTTGATTAGTGTTATTGTTATTATTTATGTTTTTGAATCAAAATTGAAACTAACTTTTATTATTATTATTTTTTTTTTTTGCAGGGATTCAGCTTTTTGGAGTGAATCAAGGATCTTGAGGATCAAAATTTTCTTCATGGAAAGGTTAGATTTTTTTTTTTATGTTGCAATTATTATATGAGTTTGGAAATTACATACTTATGAATAAACTCAAAATTGCAAACCTCCGTACATGTTGAGGATCAAGGACTGTCACTTTTCACCATCCGATGCACTTTTTGTTAAGGACAAAGACCTGCTCTTTCCATCGTCCGAGATACTTTGTGTTAAGGATCAAGGATTGAATTCTTCAATCGTCCAAGGCACTTTGTGTTAAGGACCAAGGACTGGCTCCTTCAACTGTCCAAGACACTTTATGTTGAGGACCAAGGACTTGATCCTTCCATCGTCCAAGGCACTTCGTGTTGAAGACCAAGGACTCGTTCCTTCCATCGTCTAAAGCACTTCGTGTCGAGGACCAAGGACTTGTTCCTTCCATTGTTCAAGACACTTTGTGTTGAGGACCAAGGACTTGTTCCTTCCATCATCCGAGACACTTTTTATAGAGGCTGCTTACATATTTGGGAGACTCGAGATTTTAAACAATAAACCCATTTGAGAGGTTCACTGCCCCCCTTTTTTTTGGCTGACCTTTTTTTTTGTGTGCAGGCATGGCTAGAACAAGTTCTGATGATAAAGTGTGTTCTGACATGCACGAAATTGTTGAGTTTAAAAATCAAGGTAAAAGTTATCTGCGTTTCAAAGATACTGCTGTGAAGTACCATGCCCAGACCGGCGTATGAGGTGAACTTAAAGTTAGTGTCCATAAGCCAATGACAGATCCTTCCCTCGACCTTTGGGAGTGCCATTGTCGGAGTTGCATATGTCCACCATTAGTGATTGTCACGAGAGTTTGGATACTGGCAAGTCCAATCGCTCTAGCAGTCATCTTCCCTTTTTGTGTCTTCCGCCTCATCATTCCCAGAGCATGGAGTACATCCCAAGGGCTGTGATTTGTGTGAGAATTGATAATAGAGAAATACGATGGGGAAGCGCACTGGTCAGTCGAGGAAAGATTTCTTTTGTTCCAAAATTTTGGGAGTGGTCTTTGTGGGTCCAGAAACTTCTGTTCAAGAGAAATCTCCGAGAGTTAGCTTTTGTAGTCGGTTCTATTGCAAAAGATTACCATCGCCCAAACTCCATTTACAGAGCTCTTTGTGAGGTTTGGTGTCCAGAAACCAACACATTTGTAACTGCAAATGGTGAAATTGGCATTTCTCTTTGGGACATCCGCGAGATAAGTGGACTTTCGATCATGGGTCATTATTATGAGGAAGTAGTCCCAAGCCTTTCAGAGTTGACGGATCATCTTCCCAAGTCTTGTTTGTATCTCTTTAATGTTTTCGCATTGATTGCCCATGTGAATGAATCTGACAGAGTTACTCACGAATTGTGGATTAATTTCTGGTTTCATGAGAATGGTTGTGTCCCGAACCCTCGACAACACAAAAATTATAAGAATGCTATGAATTTAAATCCATTCAAAAGGCGCCATCAAAGAACATCGAAGGAAATACGAAGGCCCGTGGTGGTAGACAAGCCGAGAGACATTACTCGTAGGGATCGACGTCATTGGGGGCAATCTTTCAGTATCTCTGTCTATGGAATAAGAAGAGGAGTTAGAGATAGCAGCCTATGTCTTCCTATGGCTTTGTCGCTTCGTTCTTCCATCTGGGGATGAAAGTATAAGAGTAGGGACTTTTAAAGCATCTTCTAGGATGGCAAGCGGATACACTTATAGTCTGGTTCCACCCATATTGGCGAGCATTTATAGTGGACTTACACGAACATCTAAATATCAGGCAAATAGAATTTCTAACTTACACGAGCATTTATAGCCTCCATGATGGTATGATTTCGGTGAATAGAACTTCTTCATCTGGCAGGTCTTCCTGAAGTTCCCATTCTGCTGGAATTGGGTGGTCAGCAAGGAAATCCGCCAAAGCTTGTTCTTTAATGGCCTTTTGTGGAATGAATTTGATGTCGAACTCAGACAACAGTAATGCTCATTTTCCAATCCTTCAAGAAAGAATCGGCCTGGACATTATGTTCTTCAATGGATCAATCTTTGATTGTGTATGATAGTATATAATGTCTCAACTTTTTGGCTGCGAAGATTAACGCGAGGCATATTTTTTCAATAGGCAAATACTTCATTTCAGCGCCTACCAGTGTCCGGCTCAAGTAATAGAGTGCATTCTCTTTTCCTTCTTCGTTAACTTGGGCAAGAAGTGCCCCTAGAGAATATTCTTGTGCTGCAACATAAAGAGTCAGCGACTTCCCTGGAATTGGAGCTGTGAGTACTGGTGGAGGAGACAAATATTTTTTAATGCTTTGGAAAGCATTTTGACAAGCGTCATCCCATTCAAATGGTACATCTTTCTTCATTAATTTGTTGAATGGATGACAACGTCCAACTAGATTAGAGATAAATCTTCGAATGTATGCAAGTTTTTCTTGAAGACTTTTCAACTCACGTACATTTCTTGGCTCTGGCATGTTGATTATAACTTCAATTTTTGATTGATCTATTTCAATGCCCCGGTGTCGAACAACGAAGCCAAGAAATTTACCAGAGGTGACGCCAAATGCACATTTCAACGAATTCATCTTTAATTGATGTCTTCAAAGTTTTTGCAAACATCTCGTAAATCTTGTAAATGATCGTCGCATCTTTTTATTTTAACAACAAGGTCATCTACATAACATTCAACGTTCTTATGTAGAATATCATCGAAAATCTTTTGCATTGCTCGTTGGTAGGTTGTCACCGCATTTTTTAATCCAAAAGGCATAACTTTGTAACAATATATACCTTTAGGGGTACGAAATGATGTGAGTTTCTCATCTTTTGGGTTCATCCGTATCTGATTGTAGCCAGAAAACCCGTCCATGAAAGATAAGATTTCATATCCAGTAGTTGCATCCACCATTAACTCTGCTATTGGAAGTGGAAAATCATCTTTCGGACATGCTTGATTCAGATCCCGAAAGTCGACGCAAATTCGTAATTGCTCGTTCTTCTTTTTGACAGGAACAATGTTTGCGATCCATGTTGGATATTTCACTTCGCGTATAAATCCAGCTTCAATAAGTTTGTTGACTTCCATTTCAATTTGAGGAATCAGTTCTGGTCGAAATCTTCTTTGAGGTTGTTTGACTGGTCGAACTCCATGTCTTACTGCAAGATGATGCACTACAACCTTAGGATTTAACCCCGACATTTCTTTGTAAGATCATGCGAACACGTCTTTGTATTCGTGAAGCAAACTGATGTACTCAGATTCTTCCTTTTAACTGAGAAGGGCACTTACAAATACTGGTCTTGGGTCTTCTTCGGTCCCCAGGTTCAATTGTTTCAAGTCATCCACAGTAGCTTGTCCCCCTTCTTCAAAAGTAGGTGGGGTTGGTTCAGGTTCATCAGTTGTGACAAAACTTTTAGACTCGGAGTCTGAATCGGGAACTTCTTCAAAGGCTATGTGATTGACAGAGACTTCTTCCTTTTCTTCACTCTCCTTTAGGGACGGACGAACTTTTTGCTGTCTTCATCTTCTTCTTGACCGTTGTGGCTTTAGGCTTGGATCAGAAGTTTTAATCCCAAGTCGAGAAAATGCAGATTGTCTTTGGAATGACATTTGGGGAGCTTGTGCATTCCTATCAATTTGGGTAGAAGAAGAATCTTCGCTTAATCTTTAGAAGATAGAAAATTTACCTTTTACATCGACCATTGGGGAGGGTTTTTCTTTTAACCTTTTAAACACCGAAACTCTGGCATCCTCATTTTCAATTCGATCGAGCACTGAAGGTTTCGACTGTTCAGATTTCTCTTCTGCAACTTCATAAATTTGAATCATGATGGGGTTTGAGGAAACCTTCTTGACCTTAATCTTTCTCGGTGGATTGGGATCATATCCCAAACCATACTTGGATCGGGACACCAAGGCTCTATTAGAATTAGAAGGGGGGCGCCCTCCTGAAAGGACAGCATCAAGATCACCTAATTTACGAGGCTCTCCTTTTCCAAACCCAGCATTTTCGAACAACCTTTTAACTTGAGGATTGTAACATCCTCTGAAAGTTTGTTTTGATTCAGCAGCTCTTCTTTGTTTGGACGAGCTGGAAATATAAAGTTTTAATATGTCGAGAACAGATGTTGAAGCCCCTGATGTAGATTTATATTCTTTCGGGCCCGCTATAAGTTGATGGGGCAGAGGCAATTTTGGGATACTAGGTATTGGAAGAGTTAACTCTTTTATCAATACCTCAATATCGGTTGATTCTACTTGAGGTTGTTTGCCTTTAGTAAATCTTGACTTATCTTTGATAAGTTGATGAGATTGAGCAACACTAGACGTATCATGATTGTTTGTATCTTTTTTTATTTTGAATCCAGATATGGTCAACCCTGAAGAATTACATTCTTCACCTTCCATGTAAAACTTGGCATCGACAAAATGAGATTCTTCTTCGAGAAAAGGTTTCGACTCAGCTACCATACATTTGACTTCTCCATCTCGGTTATATTTGAAGCATTGGTGCCAAGTCGAGGTACCACTCCAGTTTCGTGGAGCCAAACACGTCCAAGGAGTAACTCGTATGATGTTTTAGCATCAATGACATGGAAAAGAGCCGAGGAGATTAACTCTTCTATTTGCAGCTTTAGGCGAATCATGCCAATGGCTCGCCGACCTTTTTGATTGAATCCTTGAATCATGATTTTGCTTCTGGATAGATTGATTCCAATTTTCTTCATTATTTTGACCGGCATAATATTTACAGCAGATCCATAATCGATCATTATACGATTTATCTTGCACTTTCGAATATAACCGTTGACATACAATGGTCTATTATGTGGACGTGAACCCAGTTGTAAATCTTCATCGTCGAATGTTATGGCAACCATACAGTCTTGAGGAGTTGTGGCTCCAATATGTTCTAAAGCTTTGCCTTCGTATTCTTCCGGATCGATTAATGCTGCGACCAAGGCCATCCAATCATCAAAGGGAAGGGCAAGAGACTCTGCTAGACTTGTATTGGCATGAATATTATTGGGTCCTGAAATAGTTATCTTCTATTTTGAAGTGTACCTTGATACGCTCTTCATTTCATCTTTCTCCTCCGCATTGATTACG